TTGAATAATAATCGATTATAAATTTTATGAACGATTGATTAATCGAATACAAAATTTTTGACCGATTCGGACCTCTACATATAAGTATAACTAGGGTTTGCAGTTTGCGGGGGACTTTGTCTCCCGTTTAGCATTAAATAATTGATTATATAATCAATTCAATTAAACTTTAAAATTTCATTTATGATAAATAAAATATAAAATCAAACTTTTGAAAACATTTAATTATACTGATAAAAAAAAAAAAAGTTTAATTTTTATTATTTTTCTAATTTAATTTTTCTTTTGCAGTTAATTTTTTTTTAATTATTTTTATTAAATTTTATTTTAATTTGTATTCAATTTTACTAATTGATTTTCTTGAAATTCAAATAACAAAATGAGTATCTGAAATTGGATTCCAATTTCAGCTACCTGATCTTCGAATCTCAATTTCAGACACTCAAAGATCGTCCGAATTCCAACTTCAGACAAAAATCAATTTCAATACCTTCAAACCAGCGATTTCACCGTAATCTTTTATTGCTTGACGTTGAGATTCATTAAAGTAAGCTGGTGAAGTAATAACGGCATTATTAACTTTTTTACTGTACCAAGGTAAGCTTCTGCGGTTTCCTTTAACTTTACCAAGATCATAGAATTATTATTGTTGGGATTATTAAAAAAAAATTTTCAAATGAAAGCAAAAAATCTGAATTTCTTCGGGTGTGAAATCTTTCTTTTCGCCTTTGAATCTGATTGAGATATAATTTTACCTTAATATATCGGATTGAATAACTTCGTCACTAAAGTTACGTCCAATGAGACGTTTAACATTAACTACAGTATTATAAGGGTTCATACTAATCTTGATTTTTTACAGCATCACCGATAAGACGTTCTGTTTCGATGAAAGCGACATACGAAGACGTCGTACGATGACCCTGGTCATTAATAATAATTTTAATTCGATCGTTTTTCCAAACTCCAACGAGGAATATGTAGAACCAAAATCGATTCCAACTTAATTTAACACGGCAAAAAATCCACTTTAATCAGATATTAAATTTCAGGTTGTATAAATGGTAGGAAAAAAAATTTTCAACAAGTATTTTTTTTCACAACGGATATAAAATGGTTGATAATGGCTTATTATTTATAATTTATTTATAATTTTCGGTTACACATCACCACGATAAATTTATAAATAAAGTTCGAGGTCGTTAAATTAAAAGTATAATTATAGTAAAGCTGTATTTTAAGTTTATAGTTTACTTGTTAAATAATTAGTTTATACTTTTAAGTAAATTGCAATTTTTAAAATTTATTGTTAATCACAAAAAATATAAGCATCTAAACTATTTATTTATTACTATAATTTGTTATTAAATCACTTTTATTAATTTATAAAATTTCATTATATTTTTTAAAATTATTCCTAATTATCAATATTATTTATCAATAATTATATTTAATATAGTATAATAAAAATTATATTAATTTTGTAGTATACATATTATAACTGAAAATTTATGATAGTAATTTGATTAAATTTAAAATAAATTTTTTTTAGTATTTTAAATAAAATTATTTATTCATTTAAATCATTTAAAATTATTTAAATCTAAATTTATTTTTTAATATTTAATTAATATTTAAATAATAATTAAAATTTTTATTAGATATTTTTTATACGAAAAAAAGTTTATTTTTTTTAATAAAGATCTTTATTTAATTTCTAATGATCGATTAATAAGGATTTATTTATTTAATAGATTCGATAATAATTTCGCCAAATATTTTTGTTTTTTCCCTCACTTATAATATTCACACCAACCCGCTATTAATTCTAAATAAATCTAGCGTAATTAATCGAATATTTGTAATTCCGGTACCGTTCGAATTACAACAAAATATAAAAAAAGAAAAGACAAAAATTAAAAATATTTCAGAAAATAAAAAAATTTATTGTCAGGTTAAAAATTAAATACCCGGAGAATTAATTCTATTTGCTATCGCTTGACTCTCGTGAACTATTTTCAAAATCGTCCAAACTTCATTTTCGGTTTCTTCAAATCCAATGCATTTTTTACCAATTGAATTGGCACACATTTAACAATAAATACGTCTTTAAACCTAACACGATAACCAATAATAGCACAATATTCGTTAGAGATTTCCGACAGTTAATAAACTTCTTTAACATATTTAGTAGGAGGTCTGAACATAACATTAGTAACTTCTTTCTTTTTCGTCAGACTTTTCGGATCTGTAGTATAAGGAAAGAAGTTGCTAGAGGTGTTGAGAGAGGTATCGAAAAGAGAGAAAATAATTAACAATAAATAATAAATTGAGCTTTGACCTGAGACCCGTTGTGATAAGTCTGGTAATCATCTAATTGTCACCTACATTATCTGGGAAAGGGGGCGAACACGATTAGAACGTCTTATATAAAAAGAAACTGGGAATAGGAGGGTCACCCTTCAAACACAGCTATGCCACCACATCACCAACGAGACCCCCCTCGTGATTTAAAATGAAAATAATTTCATTTGTGGGACACGATGTAGTCCTATCGTGCTTTGACGGCCTGGATGGTATCCTTTCTATTAACAATATTCGGACCACCCTGCTGCTAAAATGACAAGACGACGATAACTAAGTAAGTATACTTACATGACAATACCGTATGTTTTTCTTAGATTTCTCCAGTGTCATGTCTTAACAACCGTTTCCCGTTACCACCACGGTTTATTTGCAAAAATCTATAGGACATGTTGGAATCTGGAAGTTTTTGGAATGTAAACATATCGTAAGAACGCGGGATTAATCTTTTTACGCTGAAACTTCGTCAAAACCACTTGCGGAAGTTCTCTTAGAACATGGTTTGATATCCAATAGATAGTACAATATTCAATAAAGCTTAGTTTTTTTTTTGTATTTTAAGCATTATGACTGTGACCAACCGACTATAATATTATTTTTTTAGTAAAAAGAATAAAAAATAAATGGTTGTGGAAAAGTTTCAGTAAAAAAAAAGAGAGAAGTCGTTAATTATAAAAATATTACGTGATACTGGATAATTTGTGACCACATCAAAAAAATTTCCCAGATGATCGGTGAATTGTAATTAAAAAAAAAATTGCTAAGCACAATTTGAAGATATTTTTTAAAAAAAATGACAGAATATAATATTAAAGTTTGTATATTTCTCCAGTTTTTGTCTATATTCAAACAAGAAATTTATTGATAATTTCGTATTAGTAATATTTCTAAAAAACAGCATGATCTTCATGACCAATAAAAATATTCGCACAATCAAATCAAATAAATATATCTGATATACTTTTTTAAAAAAACTTTACAATTATATTAGCCTTGTTCAAAATCGTTCGGTCGCATTTTTCGATCGGTCAGCAATAAAGCAATCTTATTGGTAGAAAAAGTTCGACCCAAAAAACCTAAAAAAATATTGGTCTAAAAAGATCAGTCGCGCAAACAAATGCAAGCAGATCCGGCCAATCAAATTAAACCACAACTGACCGAAAAATGCGACCGAACGATTTTGAACAGGGCTATTCTCTCTTCCAACACTTTGTAAATTTTAGTACAAACAACAAAAAAGTGAAACGGACTTTATTAAGATTCATAACTTGTTTACACTTCATCGACCTTACAACGCTTTTCTAACGATGACGATGATAACCAAAGAAAGGTTTTCTGTAACATCAATCATAAGGTAAGTTTCATACTTATGCTTACACCTAATGCGTTAATTATTTAGTGGTATTCTAGATATCCTTTGATTGATACCCATGTATAATCAGGTTTTATTAGAATATATTCTCATGAACTTGTTTAGAACACATGCGTCACTGAATTACTTAGAGTTTCGGAGCATCTCTAATCAATAAAAAACTTTCTCTTATTTTAAGCACACTTACCACATCATTGTAGTAATCGACTCTTTGACGGCGACGACTTGTATGGGATTATTATCTTTCCATTATTTTCTACAGATCCGAAAGATCTGACAAGAAAGAGAAAAGTAGTTTTTCATATCATCATCCAACGTTTGACGTCTAGGATTAAGATTGCATTTATTTGTTGAAGCTTTACATATAGGGTTTCTTGGTTATTTATGAGGTAGTATGCGCGATCTTTTTTATAGGATAACGATAGGGTCGTTTAGTCTTATGGGACATATCAACATCACCATCATCACTGTCACCTAGTTATGATATTTGGCCTTGGCTCAAGTGTTATTATAAATTTCATTTTTGCCTCTTTTTTTTTAATGTTATTAATTTATAGATTTTCAAGACAATTTATATAGTTATTTTAACAGTGATCATTGATGTCAACAAGTAAGTGAAGAAATAATGTGTTTTTTCTTTTTTTTGTGAAAGTGTTTCATAGTGTGATGTAGTAGCTTAAGTACATTTTGACCACAAAGGTCTACTGTTTCTTTATAAGGATTCGGTTATAACATTGCTTTATTGCAAACCTAAATGATGATCTGCAAGCCTCTTGAAAATGAGTTTTCACTTTTAGTTATCACCTTTGTAACTGAAGTAGATCTTGAGTTTCTACACTAATGTATCTCATTTTACACATATTTTTTTACCTTCACCTTTTATGTATTTCTATTATTTTTATGCACATATATTTACTACTTTTTGCATCTCCATTACCTGCCTTTTCAAACATATTTCTTACTCTTACATTTTTCATTTCAAAAATAGAGTATGGTGATGGTAATATTTTGACAAGTTTTTACCAGACTTTCATTCCGAAGAAAGAAGTTTCATCCTTATTGATGATATGTTTTAAAATCATTACAAACAGTGTTTATAAATTGGTAGAAATATTGATGTAATTACTAGAAATTTCTCATTATGATGAAGTTTCACGATTATGCATTCCAGAAATCTAAGAAAACCAACCACCATGTTATTCGCTACTTAAAGCTATTATAGCCCTTTTTATACATTATTCATTAGTATTTATTTTTTGTTTTTATTTTAAAAAAATGTATTAGATATTTATGAATGCAATTCTTTCTAATCCAATTCAATTATCTGCTACATTTTTACCTTTAAATTATCAATAACTACATATTAATTTGGTATACAGAAAGATCAGGTGAAAATTTGCCCATAGTAAAAGAATGTGAAAATGGAAATTTAATTGCTATAATTATATTCTCTTACTATTAAACTTCATAAGTAATTCAAACTTGGACACATGTTACAACTTCTGGAATTTTTGTTACATATTGAAGAACATCTGGAGGAGTTTATTCTTCACTTACTTTAAAAAATGTAAAATATGCTTCATTTACAAGTTTTGGAAGTATTTGTTTAAAATTTTTCTTGATATTATTTACAAATAATTGGTGCACTTTTGAGAAATGCAATGTAGAATTTAGATTCTGTTTAGAGCTTTTTATGCCACTTGTATTATGTTATTTATCAGATATATCAAATCATTATTGGTAAGAATGTTTGAATTTCTAAATAATTTTATTATCATTATTGCTATTAATTTAATTAATTACCTTCATTAAATTTTTAGCAATATTCAACTTTTATACCTATATGCAAGTTGTAATCGATGAAAATTCATTTTAGAAATCTGTAAGAATTCTTTAATATTTAAAGTTTTAACTATGATGATTTTTTAATCAAAATGAAAATATAGGCAAAGGTGAGTTAATCTTAATTCTTTTATTTTATTATTCTAAACCTTGTCTAATTTTCTTTTTCTTTTCAGAATACTTGAATATTAATTAATGATCATAGTATTGAAGCAATTATAAGTAATAATTTAATTGATAACGTTGTGATGGATAAAATTTTAGATAGATTTAATTAGTAGAATAGGAAGTCAATTTTATTACCATGTAGATCTTCTATGAAGATCATTTTGTCCATTTTATTATCATCGATCAATTATGTAAATCCTTAGATGTCAATTTTATTGCCTTTGATAATTACGTAGATCATAGATGTCCATTTA